TTCAGAATCTAAATCTTAATTTATTAGCTGAACATAGAAAAGGAGAAGAAGAAGAAGAAGAAGAAGAAGAAGAAGAAGAGGTGAGCAGCATGAAAGGGGGAGAAGAGGGGGCAGGTATGATGGATGCAAAAGGGATATGGGTAAAAGAAAGCCAAAGAACTCTGTAGAAATTGTGAATATAAATTTAATTCTGACTATTTTTTTCTAACTTTTTTGTCGTCGTCTCTTTTTTAGTTTATCTAGGTTCATGTTCTTATCGTTTATTTTTGAAAGGCTTTATTATAAGAATAAATTGAGATGTCAGTCATATCATCACTTATCAGTGGTATTAGATGCCCGCTACTGATACTAGTTGATGTTGAATTGAACAAACTGGACAGACACTTGCGCTCTGTGGTTATGAACAATTTTTTGAATTCCGGGAACCAGCATTCCATGCTTCTTTCTATCTCCGAAGTATTTTCTATTGGTATGAGAATCTTTTGTCTTTAATGTTCATAACCTTTTTGATTACTTTTAGATTTTTTTTCTCTATGTTTTTATCTGTTTTCTCATTAATCCTTAGGTGTCTTATAATAATCTGTTGTTGTTACTGTTGCTGATGAAAATGACAATAATAATGATGATGGTGATGATGGTGATCTATCTGGTTAACAGTGATTAGTAACGACATATTGATCTTTGCTTTTTGGCTGACATTTTATTTTGTTTATCAAATGACGGCAGTTGATAAAAAATCCAGTAAGGAAGAAGAAAAAATTATAAGATTAAAGACTTTATTTTTATTATTTATTTTTACATTCTATATTTGACAATAAGAGAGCAAAGAAAAAAAGAAGATAAATAAGCGTTTGAGTCTAAAAGTCTCTGCAGAAGAAAAAAAAACTTTTTTCGATTACATCACTGAATCAATGTTTAAAAATAGAGTTCAAACGCTCGTTGTTTTTATTGTTGGTGGTGTCTATATTGCTCTATTTTCAGATATGTGGTTTTTTTTCTTCTTTTGCTTTCGCTAAAAATCTAAGAACAATGAAGATGAAGAAGAATAAAAGGCGAAAATTTTTGATGATAGTTTTAAAAGCAAGTTTTGGCTTTTTTGTTTGCTGATGATGTTGGATGACCAAAGGAACGGGGTGGGGGAGGGGGTTAGCGGAAGAAAAAGAATTTTGTTAGTTTTTTTGCTGGGTTAAAATTGTTGAACTAAAGAAGCGAAGTTGCTGGTTAAAAAAATTGGTTAGTTATGAGGTGTTTTAATGAATAGTAGGGATATTTGAGATATACATTTGCAATACGCGTATGTATAAATAAATATGTTTAAGTACATACATATATGCGTTATAATAGGAGTTTATACCCCGTATGGAAGTGCTTTTA